CAATTATGAAATATCAATGAAATAATCTGATGTTGCAATTGCCTGGCTGCAGCTGAAATCATAGGAAGCTGTAAGTAGGCAAGATATTCCTCACATTTTCCTCAGATGGCTGTGTGTGTGTGTGTGTGTGTGTGTGTGTGTGTGTGTGTGTGTGTGTGCGTGCGTGTGTGCATGTGCTACAATTAAATATGTCCCACAATCTGACAACAGTGCAGTAGCTGGCTCCATGAGAACCAGACAAAAACTGGCTTCTTCGCCCATGGGGTGATAAGGCTACCCAAGAAATTTGTCACAAATTTCCCCCTTTTGCTTAAACATTCACCTGTTACATTCAAAGCCTATGGATATCTAGAATGCCAAGACTGGAATCTGACCTTTAGGAACATCATATGGAATGGAAAAACTGTTCTACACTGGAAAAATTGAAATTGTCTTTTCTGTGATTTTTAAAAGAGCTAACTAGCTCAGGAACACAAGTTACACAGAAAGTGTGCATGGGGGATCTGCCAAATGAGCTGAAGACCATCAGAAAGGCTTTTCACAAAAGAGAAATGGGGAGGGGGGATGAAGCTGTCAGTCCTAGAAAAGGAAGTTATTTTTGAAATGCTCTGTTTTTACCCTTTATAAGGGCAACGTAGCTCAGTTTCATGTACATACAGATTCCGAGTCAGAGAAAACACGACAGTGTTTGTAAAGTCATTTATTTTTTAATAGCAAGGAATATAAAATTCTCCATGAAAAATATGGGTTCTAGAAACTATACTTACTCATTCAAATAAAATGTGGTATCAAATAGTAGCAAAAAGCAACATCCTACTTTCTCTATTGCATTGAAAATAAGGAAGCCTAAAAGTTAAAAAAATTAAATTTCTCTAAAATCAAGGTGTATGTTTAATTTATTAAATTTGCATCTTTTATCTTATCTACATATAAAAAACAGGCATATCTCAGTGGAAGTCTGAATTCCTTAATCTATACAATGGTGAAACTCACTGGCATCCTATCTAATCTCTTCTTTTCTTTTTCTTTAAACCTACTGGCTAAGCTACCTTGTGTCTATGTAGAACACAATAACCTCTCAAAACATCTCTTCTAGGCTCTCAGGTTCTCTTGTTACTCCCCCTGTTCACCATCATGTACATATAATGTATGAACAACCATGTTGACGCTTATCTCAAAGCAGCCCCTGCATCTGTCCCCTACTTTAAATATCCCAGAGCCACCAAGTAGAGGTCACTCTCTCAGCTCATGGCCTTCAGGCTGCTATCTTCAGTCCAAATCAAAGCATGAGTTCTTCCTGATAGGTAAACCTTACCAGAGTAAACATGGCCATGTTATTCCTCCTCTAAAAATGAAACTATAAGCACTACGAACTACTTCAGTCCTCAGCCTCTGATCACAGTGAACAGGCCACTCTAGCCAAAACTGTAGGGAACTCTCACTTTGCTCACGCAGTCATGTCTGCCTAGCCCATTCTCCATGTTTTTCAACCATTCCCTCTATGAGAGCTTCCTTTACAAATGAACCCATACTTTCCCTATTTCACTCAAGGAGCCTGCATTTGTTTGCCTTTTAAGCTTTTGATACTTACCATATAAGTTCATAAGGATTCCAAGATGATTCTTATCCTTAAAAGATACCTTTCTGTTCTCAAAGCTACTCACAGTCCTGCAGGGACTGAGATTCTTGGCTTTTCCTATTCTCAGTATCCACCATTGATTCCTGATACCCTAACCACTTTGTTCATCTGATACAAACTCAGAGTTCCCCTTCAGCATCATGGTAAAACTGATGCTGCACCTACACAATTCATTGTCTTGATGACTAGATGCCTTGGTAGAAACCAGTGATATTTTAAATATATAACCCCCCCCACACACACACATACACGATAACATGTCAAGAATTTAATGAAAAAGATAGAGTTTCTATTGTTGTAATGGAGTGAAAAGCTACCAACATGGTGGTATTGAGAGCCTGGAAATTGAGCTATCTGAATGATAAATATATAGAATTGCAACTAAAACATTCTATGGCACCAGTGTAACAGCATCTTCTTTGAGTTGAGTCTACATAGTGCTAATCACTCTCTGGAAATACGCTTGTGAAGACTGCCTCTCTGGAGCTTTACAAAATATCTTTTGGTTCTTGACAATGACGTGACTGTACTTGGTGATAATCTTAGTATGCTTTACAAAACTTGGATTTGTGTGCAAAGAATATTTGTATCTATTCAGTGCTTAGGAAACAGGATTTCAAAAGGAAAGCTGTCTGAGACAGCACGTGCATGATTTGATGGGAAAAGCTTACTAAGATTCTCTCCTGGGTGTATCTGGTCAGTGGCTGGGACCTACTTTTGGTGCAGTTAGTATTTGAGAACTCTTGGCATTGTGATGTCTGCCAACACTGTACATTCTGTCTATATGCTTATTTTAAACTTCAAAACAGTGAGACTAAAATTTAGAGTCTTTATTATTTGTTTTGTTTGGAAATACATAGGAGTGCTTATCAAAGCCAATAAAGTGAGAAAACATTTAACCAAATAAAGCCAAGAGGAGATGTAGTATGTGTTAGAGTTTGGACAGGAGCTCCAAACACTCATGTGTTACAAGAATGATTCCCACGTGGCAGTTGTGATAGGTGACTAGTTATATGGGCATTCCCTTCACTAGTCGGAGAACTGATAGGTGAGTTCATAGTTAAACAAGTCATGGTAGGTGACCTAGGGCATACTTATGCAGATGAATCCCCAGCTCCTCTGCCTCTCTCTGGTTGCCACGACATGAACAGCCTTTAGTTTTGTCATGATCTTCCACTGTGATGTTGCTGCTTTGCCTGAAGCTTAAAGCAGCAGATTCAACTGATCATAGACTGAAACCTGTGAGACCAGGTCTCACTATGTCTTACACTATTTACGTCCTTTGTCACTGTGATGGACAGACAGAAAGGCACACAGCAGGCAAGGGAGAAGCTTCTATAGCAGCCTCACACTGCTGCCTGTCCGTGTCTTGCTTTCTCACTTTTTCAGAAAGGGTCAAGGCTCTCTCAGCTTCTAGGAAGCCTAAAGTAGTTACAATTTAATAAATCTGAAGGCTTGAAATCATCACAGAGATGTGTGACTTAGAGTGGTTGGTACAATTTGTATTTATTTGTACTTAACCACTGGTATTATTCTCAGTAATAAGGTAAAGAACCAAGTTCACTGAATTGGAAATTATTATTTTCTCTAGATCAACCAAAACAATATGTTTTTTAGTTTTCATTGTTGTTCCCCCTGCAGCAATTTATAGAGCTTGCTCTATGGTCTGATGAGTCTGTCCAATAATCAGTGAAACAATGTAACATGCACTGTGGTCAACACTGTTATTTTCTAATGCAAAGAATTAGCATGCTTTTTGCCTAGATATTGGCATCTTTAATATAAACACATTCTTTTCATTTTATGGCCACTCACATATAAAACAATGTGTGTGTGTGTGTGTGTGTGTGTGTGTGTGTGTGTTCACAGGAGTCCTGCAGCACACATACATGTGGAGGAGGCCAGACAATAGCTTGCCAGAGTCAATTCACATTTTTGATTTTTGGGGGTTGGATTGGGTGGAGGAAAGGCTTTATTTCATCTTACACTTTACAGGCCTTCCAGGGAAAAGGGAAACCAGAGCAAGATCTCAAGGCAGGAATCAGGAAGGAAGAACTGAATACAAGATCTGGAAGTGGCTCCACCTGGCTTGCTCAAGTACCTTTCTCATACAGCCCAGGTCCACCTGCCTTCGGGTAGCAATGTCTACAGTGGTACCAGTCCTCCTATATTAATTAGCAACCAAGAAATCACCGCACATTCCATGGCTACAGGCCAATCTAATGTAGGCGATTTCTCAACTGAAATTCCCTCTTACCAAATTTGTCTAGGTTTGTAGGTTGACAAAATAATCCAGCAATATTCTCTGCACAAAATTCACACTGTGAGCAATAGTGTTCAAAAATGGTTGCTAACCTTTTGCTATTACAAATGGTCACTTTTCAACACATTAGTCCTAGGAATCCAATTCAAGTCATCAATGTCTTCACCATGTGCCTATACCTGCTGAGCCTTCTCACCAGTCCTAAAAAAACTTCTTAAACTGGTTTAAAATGAACTTGAGCTTCTTTATTAGTGCTCATTGTAAAAATAAGTTTCTTTACTTATGTATTTAAATTATACTGTAATAAATTATAACACCTATTTAATCTCTCTGTGTTTCTCTCACTCACTCACACTCTCTTTGTTGGACAAGATCTGTAGTGCAAGCTAGCCTTTAGGTCCCAATGGAGCTAAGAATGGCGTTGAAGTTCTTATTCTCCTGCCATCACCTCCAGAGTACGAGGATAAGAGGTACTTGTGCCTAAGCTGGACCATTAGCATAGGACATAGGACAATAAATAGGTGGCACCTGCCAATTTAAAGCATGTGAGACAGAAGCTTGCATTTGGGAAAGACATACACATGAGAACACCAATTCAGTGAGATGTGCTAACAGCTTGGAAAGAAAATGGCACACTGCTTGTGGTACACCCTCTAATGAATTCAGCTACACTTCCATGCTTTGCAAACCTCCCTACTATTTAAATTATTTTCAAGGTTTTTCCTCTGAATACACTTGCTTGTCAACAATCCAGTGGTCAAATGCTGACACACTTGTCACTATCAAGCATATTCTCTACAAGTGATTATTCTGCAAGACAAAATTGCATTTTCTAGGATTAAAATATTAACATTTACATGGCAATTTATCATTAATATACCCTGTGAATTGATTCAAAGTCTAAAGTAAGAACACTTTGGGTATTTGTATTGTTTTCCATTGATTTTTCTTTAAAAGTTTATCTTCAAATGCCTACCCTAGACTTTGACATAACTTCAGCTGTAGCATTTTAATTTTCTCATGTAATGTTAAATATGCTTCCTTTTAAAAAGGTATGGCTTTTATGACCAACAGAAATGAGACAGAATATAATCTTACCCTGGTGTGAGTACGAATATGCATCTTCAGTCCATCATTTTTACTGAATCCTTTTTCACAATAAGGGCATTGATAGGGACGCTCACCTACAAACAAAGGAAGCCTCCATGTCAGAGATAGGTAAGGCAACAGAGCAACCTCAGTGCCACTGCTCCTCACAGGGGCTCACTGGCACAAAGGTGGTACAGGCACAGCTGGGAAGGCAGAAGTATCATAGTACAGGAGGCACACATGGGGCGCTCCCTCCAACCCAACTTGACCAACACCCAGAAACAAACAAGTAGCTCACAGGTTTGCTGCACGACCTTCTAATACATGAATCCAATTAAATGTACTAACTTTAAGATATTATAAAAAAACATTTTATACCAGTTTGTCCCGTGACCATGCTCAGTATGGAGGTCTTTAACTCAATTTTTTAATAACTTTGCTTATAAAGATTCCATATATATAAATAAGGCCCACAGCTATGCATTTCAGAATAACCCCATAAAGCTGGTGCATGTTAAACAGAATCATTGGTATTTAAACTACAAAACAGATCCACACTTTTCTACATAATCAAGTAGCTCTTAATGAAGGCTGTAATTTAGAAAATGGGAAAGATGTTTTTCAAGACAAGCAAGACCACACATATACCCTCCAAAGAACAAAACTTCTATTGTGACAAAATCTAATACATAAAAAGAATTCAAGACTACTCATCAAAGCATAATTATTTACAATAATAAGTTAGGTCCAAATCACCAGTTTTCTTTATTCTTTCATTGAACAATAGACAAACATGACAAACATGACAAGATGCTAGAAACTTGCTACATTCCAAGATCAGTAAAATGAAGTAAAAAAGAAAATGTCCTCAGAATGTATAAATCTTCTGACTTTCCTTGCCTCAGGGCCAGGGTAAGTGTCCTCTGCTCTTTTGAATTCAACCTGAGCATCCCATGAATTATTCCCATTACCCCATCAGGGCAGCCATGAACTCTTTGTTCAGCCTCACCATTTTCCCAGAAGAGGACTTGCTTCACCCCCCCCCATTCCCCTCATCTCCCCCACCTCTTCAATGCTTCTTGAGAAGAGATTCAAGAGTGACCTAACTTACACCAGGTCTGCCCACAATGGTATTACCACGGGTGACAGACCTAGCAGAGACACATTTTCCAGCTTCTCCCATTTTTAGGGGAATAATCTTGGTAATTGTTTATATTACAGCCTCAGAGTGACAGGCAGTCAGATATGTCAAAAAAGCATGGATCAACTGTAACTTAAATTCCAGTAGTTCAAATGGCACCATAAAATTGTTCCAACATCCATAAGGGAATGAAAATAGAAACAGCAGTGTCAACTAACGCAGGAACAGGTATCTTCAATAAACTATACAGATCTACCAGCTACTATAAGAGAAATAAACTTCTGGCACTAGTCAGTGCACCTGGTATACCTGAAGTAGTAATTATGACCCTAGGGCATGTGGCTTTCCACTGCAGGATAAAGGATTATAACTTCTAATTTTAACAAGAAGATGATAACCATGTGCTTATCTAACTTCCCATCTCTACTGAGCCTCAATCTTTATATACCAATCTGTCTAACATTTGTACACCAAAAAACAACTCAAGTTCTCTATGTATCCCTCTAAATTTATGATCTCATCTTCTGTTTTCATGTGCTCCAAACACACCGTCCTGATTAACTGAGTAGATTTATTCACATATCTAATAACAAAACCCCCATACATGTGTACTGCACAGCAAATCCTAAATAAGATGTTATTTACTCTTGCCATAAATCGAACAAAAGTATGTGTAGCTATGTGAAGTAATAGTTGTGTTCATTTAATTTATTTTAATAATTATTATTATTTATTATATATCTCATAATAGCATGAATGGCTTAAACACAATAAAATTTATTGAAAAGGAAAAACTTGAGAACTGTTCAAAATAGAACTGTTTTAACTCAGTTCTACATAGATCCAGTCTCCAGTCCTAATGGTACCCTGAGATGCCCCTCAGGATGACTAGACATGAAGACCTAAAGTAGAGCAGTATTAGGATCTGCAGCGGGACCTGGAGTGCAGCAGGACCTGCCATTTGTCGAGTTGCTAAGCATTTAACATAACCATCTACAGAAGTATAAGGACTGGAAGACCCTGCACACACTCATGATAATTTTCATATTCCTGCAGCATAAAAATGCAAATGACTTCATCCTCTTCATCATAAAATCTTACAAGTAATTTTAACATTTTTGGTGCTTTTAATTTTTTTTTAAGACAGTGTCACTCTATAACTATACAGGGCCTGGAACTTAACAATATAGACCATGCTTGCCACAAACTCATAGACAATCCTCCTGTCTTTGCCTTGTGCTAAGATTATAGGCATTACCATACCTAGCTAATATTTAGTCTCTTAAACGTACATTCATTTCATTTATTTTATTTTACTGATACTAAGGAATACTGAGCTGTTTGCTTCCTTTTTAACTATTAATGATTGAATTCATTGGCAAATCAAATCTAGATGACAGATTAAGAATGATAAAGACAAAAAGTCTAGGGCAGGACAGATGGCTTAGAGGTTAAGAGCACTTATAACCCCTGTAGAGGATTTGGGTTTGACTCACAGCACCCACATGGTAGTTCCCAATCATCTGAAATTCCAGTTGCAAAGTATCGAGTTCCATTTATGAATGCAACGGCTACCAGGGATACACATGATGCATATACATACATGAAGGCAAAACACTCATACACATAATTTAAAAAAATAAAATCTTTTAAATGATACACAGATACTTAAATAGTTTTTCTTGCAAGCCACTGTGTACCTATATTCCTGAGTTGAAACATTCTCTCCTGGAGGGAGGCTTATAAGACTCAGGAAGTAAACACACCTTACACGGCTCAGGATGTCCCTGGGAATTACATGACTCTCAAGGCCCCTCCACAAGGTTACATAAGCAGTAACAATTTCTGGGGAGAAACTGTCCTATCAGCCAACTGTCTGCATCTGACACAGTGAGCTCTTGGGATGTAACTTTCATGAATTTTGACCCATGCTCTACAGTGGGGTTTTAGATGTAGTTGTCTTTGAATCACTCAGGTAACCCCCTACTCATACTTCTAAAAGTAAATCCAATACACTAACAGATTTGTTAATCATTCATTCATTCATTCATTCATTCATTCAATTAGGTGGAATTGTTCCTCTGGGCTGATGTCAGTGCTCTATTTGGGGTAGAGAGACATTTATTCACAACCCTACAGAAGAATTAATACAATTGCTACTGAAACATGCTACCAAGACTGATCCCTATGGCAGTGAACTATCGAAAAGGGCCATTAAGACATGGCTACCTTTCCTCATCTGCAATTGGATGGTATGCCTCTTTGTCATAGTGCAGTTGCACATTACCTGTCATGGGTGTTCAGTCGGAACCTCCAGCTCATGAATGGTCTGAGAAGCTTCATCTCCCTCTCCCTCTCCCTCTCCCTCTCCCTCTCCCTCTCCCTCCGCCCCCCACTCTCTCTCTCTCCAAACCCTACCCTCTCAGAGAATCTCCAACAAAGAAAAGTTGCCAAAAATCCCAGTAATGCATTCTTGGCAGCTGGGCAGCTCCTTTCCTAAAGGTGCCTGCAGCCAAAGTCCCAGACCAAAATGTTCAGTTTTTGACCATACTTGGGCATGAACCTTGCTTGTGGCAGACATGTCATCATTCCTCACCTACAGGCTATATAACCTCCCTGCTTTAGTTTGGGTGCATGACTCCTCTGGCCTCTATCTCTGGGGCTGGAGAACTCACCTGGGAGTTACTCTGCTCAAATAAACCCATTCTTTTACCTTTTCAATTTGACTTGATCTGGCTTACTACACTGGTGAAGAAACAAACCTTGCTGCTGGGCTACAGCAAATGGGCACTAAGACATGCAATTGAATCTGAGCCACTTGCAGGGGAATTGCAGGGCAGCTCTCTTCCTTTACATGGTATGGCTTTTGTGCCTTTTTGATAGGTGGGACCTTCCACATGACATCCCTCAAATGGCAGATGGACTAGAAAAGATAATTGCAATTCCCAATAGTAGGACATTTGGGGCAGGATTTTAAACAGGCTATGGTAACTGTGGAGTGGCCTTTTCTGTGGGTAATAAGAGATTCCTGTATATGGAGAGTTATAACAAGAAAATGACATTTAGATCCCATGCATCAGCTTCTGAGAACAGTGAAAGTATAAAGCTGGGAGAATAAGACAGTTGACTGGCCTTTACATACAGCTGGCAGACTGTAAGGGATGTGTTCAATACCGTTTCTTGGATCCTCAAACTGGACAGTGAGGAGCAAAGGAAGGTGGTAAAAGTACTGGGAGACATGCCTAAGATCCATAACCCATTAACTGAGAAGATAGGAAATCCATGATTCAAATGTAGAGAGAGACTTTAAAAATGGTTCAGGAGAGGAAATTATGATAATTGAGAAATACTCAACAACTTACCTGCCTGAATTGAGGAATACCTTAAACAAGAAATGAAAGAGCCTCATACAGGCAAGTTTGTAGTGCTATAGGGCACAGGGATAAATAGGATGAGTCCAAGGGTGCCCTGGAAATGGAGACGCTAAGTAACACAATTACTTATTCTTCCTTGAAATAAAGGATGCATATGCATCCTGGGGCAATATTAGGGGAATCAAAATTTGAGCCATTAATTAAAAGCACTGTTTATTGCCTGCTGAAGGCTGCATGAATACCAGGGACTGTAAGACAACAGAGGAAGGAGGGGCAATAGTGAGGTAAAGGAGAATGAGAGGTAGTGACTGATAACCAGTTCACTAGGCCTGATTGGGCTGGGTTTACAGAAGGGTTAAAGAGATTGAGGGCTAAAGAGAAAGCTTAGCAATTAAGAGTAATTGCTGTCCTTGCTGAGGAGCCAGGTTCAGCTCTCTGCACCTACATGGTGACTTATAGTTGTCTTTAATCCCATTTCCAGGAGATTCTACATTTTCTGACCTCCATGGGCATCAGAAATATACACAGTGTGCATACATATATGAAGGTAGAATGCTCATATACTTAAAATAAAAATAAT